ATGTGTATAATATTGTACGTACGTAAGCGTAAAATGCAATTACTACTTTATGCAATTATTATTTCATTCTTCGTCAAGTCGAGAAAGATTTTTTTCCACTGTGCATTTTTGGAGATTTTTAGGCTTTTAACAACAAGCCGATATTAATGAAAATTTGACTTTGATCAAACTTTCAGGACAAGTAGGGAAAGATATTTCAAAAGTCAGTACACGTATGTAAATAGTGTATACATGCGTGTGTTGATTGGTTCGTTATTTTCTTCGATTTGGAATAATACAAATTACGTTTATCCAGACGTGACTTGGAGCGACTTTATTATTCACATAATCGTACGTTTCAAGTTTTGAAAAAATTGAGTTTCACTGGTTGTCGTTGTTGTTGTTCGATCCATCGATGGGATCGAAGGAAAACGTCGATCTCTTTTTCGTTCAACCTCGTCCGACTCGGCAGTAGCGACATCTTGGTGAAAGGCATCTTTTCTGGAAGAAAATGAACAGAATGTTTCGGAAGCGTGCACGCACGCGCACGCGCACGCGCACACACTTATTCGCGCACAGTGTGAAACGGCGATTGAAATTGCAATACATTTACATACGTATATTTATTCTCTGACAAACGGAATAACGATTTTGGACAATCTTTGAAGTAAGGCCAACATTCTCCATGAAATTTTCCTCTGTTTTCAGCTTCGACGTATTCTTTTAACAGATTTGAGAATGGTGATTTACTAGCACTGTAAATAAGATAATGCGCGTACGTGTTTATCCATCGTGATAGAACGTGAATCGCAAAGTTTGGATTTTCTTTTCAAGGGTATGTTCATCAACTTCACGCGTGCAAAGGCGTGCAAAGGCGTGCAGGCAAAGAAGGAGACAGTGGACTATATAAATATATGTAAGTATGTAAGTATGTAAGTATGTAAGTAGCGTACATAGGTAAGGAGAGGTGGGGGAACAAGTAAGATGAAAAGTGCTTACGTGAAAAACAGTTTGAGCATTTCGCCGATTAAACCGAAATTGTTCAGAGGATGGCCCTGCACTTCGCAGATTGCCCTCAACAAACAGGCCTTTCCGTTTAAACCGAAATTTGCGAGCATCTCCTCGGCAGTGCTGTACAAAAGAGCTCTTTCACCCCCGTAAACTGCATTCTCTGGCAAATCTGCGATCGCCTCTCTCTTGTTAACTCCACGTTTCACGAACGTCGCGATAAATTCTGCAACGCTGGATCCTTGCTCCCTGCCAGTGGCGTCAAACGCTGACGGTAAAACACCGTACGGGTTCTCGTTGTCCGTTAGGCCAAGTTTGTCGAAATCGACTGTAATCAAGCAAGAACAAAGGAACAAACGAGAAGAGGAGAAAAGGAAGGAAGGAAAGAAAGAAAGAAAGAAAGAAAGAAAAAGAAAGAATGTGTCGATGCGACGTGA